TCATAATGAAAGCTGAATCATGTCTGCCATCTGTGTTTTCGCTAATGTAAGTTTATGTCTGTCTTTACCCATAATGCAATGTACAAAACTTAACCAAGATAAAATATTCACATTCAAGAATTCTAAAAATAACACTGCTCATAAAGCAACAATGGGAGAAAACTGTTAAAGAAAGCATTTCATCAATTTATCAGATATGTGCAGCATGTACATATGGTCAAGTACAAATACAATATAATGAATGGTACAGTCCCAGCATAACTCTTGAGTTGGCTTTGCTTTCTCTTCAAAATATAAACTTATTTTTTTGCATTCTTTAATACTAAATATGTAACTTAATATATTTAAGGTAGATTACTCTGCAAAATATAGTGATTTTAGAAGAAAGATTTGATATATGTAAAGTTATCCTCAAAATGTACATGCATAGACCTTAGAAACATTATGATTAATGGTACACCCATACATCTCTCTCCCGGCATAACAAATTTTACTTATTGTTTATTTGAATGGTACTGATACACCACATACCATATTTGGGGATACCGTGAAGTTTATCAGATTTTATCGCCCCCAAACATTCTTTGAAAGGAATGAATAAAAAAAAATAAAACATTTCATGACAAGAACGTGTAAAGAATATTTGTTCCATTACTGCATATTAAGTAGACAATCCACATCCTACCTAGTACCATGTTAACATTGAGAAATAAAACAAATCAAAGACAAATTGATCTATTGTTGATGCCTCAGCCTGAAAGCCTGCATGAATGCCTGATTACTTCATTCCTGCCTGCCCAACTAACTTGTCTGAAAGACTGCCTTCCCGCCTGCCTGTTTGACTGACTGACCAACCAACTGATGAAGCGACTAACTGACAGACTGGCTGGCTGACTAACTAACTGAGAAATGCTGAAATGTTCAAGTTCAATTGTTACGAGCATCAAGTTATAAAAACATTGAGTTACAAAAATCACCACGCCCATATTTTACAAAACCACACCCAAATTGTAACTATGTTCAATTAACAGTTAACAGGACTTCGATTTGCAGGCTTTTTCTTAACTAAATGCTTGTAACTC